AGGTTCTTGTTTCACGCAATCTCCGGAAGTCGCACAGGCTTACCTAACGCAAGGCAGTGCTCCCCCATTAACGCCAACTTGGGGCATTGTTTGTTTTAATTAGTAATTTGCGTGATAACCAAACAACAAGTCACGATTAGATTATTTTGAAAGGAACAGTTACATTAATAGTTAATAATTCTTAAAAAGAAGAAACAGTTATAAATGAAATGTCCCAAGGCGATTTGGAGCAAATTTACAAAAATGGTTCATCACGGTGGTTAATCGTGGCGGTTAATGGTTGCAGATAACCAGTAAGTCTGATTAAGTGGAGAATGCATCTCGTTTTATATACGTTCTGACACTAGAAGGAAAAGGAAGAAAAACATTCCAATATGGTCCTGCTTAGTTAGCAGCAACACTTCCTTCACATCCACAGATAAACTCTGCGAAGCAGCAAGGGCATAGCAAAATATCTACCTGCTCGGTAGATGGAATTTGTGCGTTGAAACTGACAACCTTCAATTGAACTTGCATCATCTCAGTTTCACAAAAATCAGCTACCCCTCCACGAAAATTGACAAGCTCATCCTCACTAGTGCAAAAAATAGGAACATCCCTTCTGTACACAATGTCCTCTGCATAGTGAGATTTAGGGGTGGGCAAGTGAAGTTTGTCCCTGCAGAGGCAATAAGAGGTCATGCCAAGGGATTATTTTCTCCGACCAGCGAAAGTCATTGAGAAAGATTACTTCACAATCTTGAGCTTCTACCAAGCAAAACTTGTTGTTGCAGGGTTGCTGAAGGTGTGCAAAATTGAATTTAGTGGATTAAGGATGAATGTCTTCCCACAATTTGCAGGCCCTTTAAGCAAGATGTTGCAATATTTTCCATGACTTTTGACGAGATTTCTGACGGCTTCTGTGAAATCAGCCTCTGGAATAGAATTTCTTTGAAGGATATCTTTGGCAATGGTAAGCCCATTCTCGTCCCCATAGCCCTCTTCGCTTCTCTAGGCCGGTGGGGCCTTGGCACGAGAATCAAAGGGCTCATGGGACATAGGACTTTTGAATTAATTCAAATTTTTTTGATTGGCTGTTTGAAAAAAGAAATCTTGAACAGAAGTCAGAATGTTCATGCACATTGCTGGCAAGAAAATTGATGTCAAGTTTGTTGGCAGAAGTTAATGTTTAGTGAAGCTAGGCCCAGGCCTTGGCTGATTTCAACCTCATGTTCGCCATAAGCTCCGTTGGGGGCATTTCGCTTGGTACGTTCATCTCCGCAATTGGTTCTGTATGCATGGCTGTCGTTCACCGGGTTTTCTTGTCCGTTTTTCGCTGTTTTTACTTGGTTTGCTCACTATTTCAATTGTTAAGCTTCACGTAAACCTAGACGATGGCATCTTCAAACAGCATGACCATTTTGCCCGTCCAGATCTAACAGGACTGAACTCTATATCAACTCCACTTGCCACTAAATGTTCGAGGGATTCGTTCTGCTAAATGAGCAGAAATATGACATCATTTTTCTTCAAGAAACATATTACACCATGGAAGTTGAAGATACCTGGAGGACACAATGGCAAGGTAAGCTTTTTTTTCTTCACATAGTACTAATCATAGCTGTGGAGGAGAAGTGACTTAGATTTTAATTTAAAATCTGTTGAAGTAGATGTTCAAGGTTGCTATGTTGTAATGGAAGCTGATGTGCAGGGTTCAAATTTTTTACTCGTAAATATTTCCACGGCCAATAAGGTGCAAGAACAATGCCACTTTTTTGATAATCTAAATAATATCATTGAGAATTTCATTGTTGACAAAGAACAAAAGATAGTTATGGGAGGAGATTTTAACACTGCATTTGATTCTGATCTCAACTGCTCTGGTGGTAACCCTTCTCAAAAAGATTTCAGTTAAAAATATCCAAGATTTACGCCTAGACTATGATTTGGTAGACTTATGGAGAATAAGGAATCCTGAAACTAAACATTTCACTTGGAGGCAAAAAATCCATTAATTCAGAGAAGATTAGATTACTGGTTAATAAGCGATGTCTGTCAAGAGGATATCGAAAAGCCCGACATTATTTCATGGATCAATTCCGACCATTCGGCAATTGTTCTCCATTTTAATAATATAGACAGACAAAAGCACGGCCTTTTGCTTTGGAAATTCAATGCGACGAGAATGAGACGAGAACGCCTCAAAGCAAAATCATCTCGATATGATCAGTAGCTTGCTGGAAAACAAGTTGAAAACACTGGATGGACTTGATGACGAAATAAATTCATTATGTCCTCTGGAGGACATTACTAAAGAGATCGAAGAATCAGAAGAGATAGTAGCACAGATTATCGACTGTCAAAAGCAAATTGAAGAATCAAGGAAAAGCGTTGACCCACAACAAGTACCGCCTGTATTCATGACGTCATCCGCGGTCTACGTTCAACCCAATCAACACAATACAACAGCAATCAATTCTGTGAAACCACGACTTCCAAAGTTATCACTTCCGAAATTCAGAGGCAACGTTACAAAATGGCACTCTTTCTGGGATTCCTTCAAATCCGCCATTTACGAAAACAGCGATATCTCAACTATCGACAAGTTCAATTATCTAAATTCTCTACTAGAAGGAAATGCCACAAGGACCGTGCAAGGTCTTACACTCACAAGTTCAAATTACAATGCTGCCCTGGAAATGCTACAGATTATCATATCAGCGCACATGGATGAGATTTTAAAGATTCAGCCGTGTATTGAAGGAGGACATCTTGGTCCATTACAATATGTTTACGATAAAGTCAGCACGTTAGAGGTTTGGCTTCGATGGGTGTTTACTCAAAGGAGTATGGAAGTCTTCTCATTCTGAATTCTGATCATTGTGTTAGAAAACGGACTGTGTGACTGTCACGCGGTGGAAGTGAACTTTGTTCCTTATTGTTCTCGTTGCTTAGTGATAAGCTGTAATCGCGTGATGTAAGTTTAGGATTTCAAAAAGCCATGTGCGAGTCGTGTGAGATGTAGCAATTGTAATCTTCCTAATTTCCTATGAGTTGGGACATTAAAAATAGTGAAGTGATTCAAGTCTGTTGGTCATTCAAATGTGAAGATTATCGGGAAAATCTCTTGTGTTAGAAGACTGTGAACAAAAAGGACAACAATCAGATCTGACGCCGGGATTTCACAATGGAGAAGCTGCCCGCGGATTTAAACATACAACTACCATTGCTTAACTTTACCAAGGATAAGAGTGAAGGAATCATCGCAAAGGAAAACGTGGAAGGTGTGGAATGCCAACTTCAGTCCTTGAGGTCTATCGTAACGAGTGGAGGAATTTAAGCTTCAAATCGAACAAGCAAAAATCGTGAAGGGAGAGAAACTTGACAACGTGTCACAATGAAGCCTCACAGTTGAAGCCGGGCAAACATCTGAGAACAAGAACATCATGTACTTGCGAAAGTGGTTTACAGAATACAAGCGAAGGGAAAGCCTTTCGGAAAAGGAGGAACAACAAGCCTTTCTAGCACAATCAAGGAAAGATCAGCTTGAGTTTGAACGTACACAACTGGAGATGAGGTTAACCTATGAGAAGAAAATAGAGGAGACAAAAGGAAACCACGTGAAGACCACGGAACCGACCTCGACTCAAGCCGTGAAGACCACCAAACTTCCTAAGCTTGTCATTACAAAGTTTAGCGGTGAACTAACAGATTGGCCCCGGTTCTGGAGTCAGTTTGAAACCGAGATTGACAAGGCAGAAATAGCTGGCGTGACGAAGTACTCTTACTTAAAGGAACTCGTAGACCTGAAGATACGAAGGGAAATCGACAGTTTGCCCTTTTCATCAGATGGATACAAGCACGTGAAGAACATCCTGACAAGGAAGTATGGCCAAACAAGCGAGGTCGTGAACGTGTTCATGGAGAACATTATGTCTTTGCCTACAATTGGTGGAACACAGCCAGCCAGAAACCACGATTTCTACAAGAAGCTTCTTTTCAATGTGCAATCGTTAGAAACAATGGGGAAACTGCGAGAGGTGAATCAATAAGTGCAGATGACTATTGACAAGCTGCCAGGGATAAGAGGGGATCTTGTGCGAAGACAATTCTTCGCGAGAATGGAATTTCCCAAAGTTGGTGGATGAGCTCCGGAAATGGACGGAAAGAAACCCAATCCAACCTAAGCAAAGTGACAAGCCCTGGCGTGACAAGAATTTTCAAGCCCTACAGCAGAGAGATGGCAGAAATCGGGGATGTGTTTATTGTGAAAAACAAGATCACAAATCGGTTGACTGCAAAACGGTTGCCACTGTGGACAATCGCAAGAGAGTGCTTAGCAGCAAATGCCTGTTTCAATTGCACCGGAAACAAACACAGAGCTGACAATTGCAAGAGCCGTTCCTCGTGCCAGATTTGTCAGAGATATCACACCTCCATATGCAGCAGCCTTGGTAACCAGTTAATGACAGTGACTGCAATGGGAAGACCAACAGTGATCTATCTGGTCGTCGTAGTGGAAGTGCTGGGAGTCGTGTCGTGGGTTGTTAGAAACCGGTGCTGGAAGTTCGTATGCTTCAGCAGCGTTACTTGATTGCTTAAAGATCCGTCCTCATGAACGAGAGGTATGACAGATCAAAATGATGTGAGTGGTTACTAAGCCTGTGGAGATCTTCAAGGTACAGATAAGTTCAGTGAAGGGCGATTTCCTCCTTGAAAAGGACGTGACCATGGTAAACAAAAAACAGCTGTTATCCCTGGAAAACCCTTGCTACCAGCAGGTCCTGGAAAGGTATGGCCACTTAAAGGGAGTGAAGATGGACAATATGGACACACGGGATTTCCTTCCAGTGCACCTTATCTTGGGAGTGTCTGACTATACCAAGATCAAGACTGAAACCGCACCTCTTATTGGAGCCGCTAACGAGCCTATTGCCGAGAAAACCAGGTTTGGATGGACCATTATTTCACCAGGCAAGGAAGTGGATCTGTCTCCAATGTTCCTGACACAAAAATCAACGGTAGATTACGAAAACTTGTGCAGACTGGACGTACTTAGACTCGTGGATTGTGCAACTGGTGACCAAGACGAGGTGCATTCAGAGTTCAAAGAGCAACTTAGACGAGACGAAGAGGGTTGGTACGAAACTAGCCTTCCATGGAAAGGGAACCACCCACCTCTACCAAGCAACGAAGCAGGAAGTCTTTGCAGGTTAACCGGCCTCGTAAAGAAACTGCGCAGCCAAGGAATTATAGTCCGTTACAATCAAGTGATCCAAGACCAAATCAAGGCCGGAATAGTCAAGAGAGTTAGCAGACCTGCCCCTGGGGAGCACGAGTTCTACATTCCTCACAAGGCAGTGGTACGCGACACAGCAGAAACCACCAAGCTTTGAGTAGTCTATGACACGTCAGCACGGGCCTACTCTGATGCACCCTCGCTAAATGAGTGTTTGTATCCTGGCCCACCTCTTCAGAACAAGCTCTGGAGTGTCCTAGTTCGTTCTCCGTTTCATCCAGTGGCAGTCGCAGGAGACATCAAGCAAGCTTTCCTCCAAGTCCGAATCAAAGAGCTAGACCGCAATGCGTTAAGATTTGATTGGTTGAAGGACCCAAGCAGTCAAACAGTGGAGACGCTGCAGTTTACTAGAGCCCTTTTCGGCCTCACGTCATCGCCATTCCTCCTGGGAAGCGTAATTCATCACCTGTTGGAAAGTTGCAGACAAAACTACCTGCGTATTGTCAGCAAGATCAAACAAAGCTTATACGTAGACAACCTGATCAGTGGTGGTCCTACAACTGAAAAGGCAAAAGAAATCAAATCAGCTTCTCAGATCGTATTCGCCAAGGGCACCTTTGAGTTGCATAAATGGCATTCAAATGTGAAAGAGTTGGAATCAGCTACTTCCGAAACAGTCTCGATCGAGGAAGAAACGTACACAAAGGAGCAGTTAAACGTCCCCAGAAGAGAAGGAACCACCCTGCTCGGTTTGCCATGGGACAAGGAAAACAATATTATCAGCGTGAGTTTTCCACAAGAGAAGGCTAACCCCAGCAAGCGGGGAATTTTAAGCAAAGTGGCAAGGATCTACGACCCACTGGGATTGGCCTCTCCTATCTCATTGGGTGGTAAACTCCTCTACTGCAGTGGGTGTGACGCCAAGCTAAACTGGGATGTAAGGCTACCAAGCAAGTTGATGCAGAGTTGGATATGATGGGAGGAGCAACTTCCCAAGCAGCTTACAGTCCCAAGGTCTTTAGCAGCCTATCAAGAGGACATTCAGTCAATTGAATTGCATGCGTTTGGTTATGCCAGTAGCAAGGGCGTGGCCACGGCTGTCTATGCTGTAGTTGTTCAAGAGTCGGACGTCAATCAGGGGCTTGTGGCAGCGAGAGTGAGAGAGTGAGAGTTGGTGTCTGGGCATATGGCGGTGAATCTCTTAGCAAACATGGTCTCAGCCCTGGGTGGATTTCCCCTAATAGAAAGGTACTTCTCGCTAGATAGTACTGTTGCCCTGCACTGGATCAGATCCCCAGGCACATATAAGCAGTTTGTGAGTAACAGAATTGAGAAAATACAAGCACATTTGGAAGTGACCTGGCGGCACGTAGGGACCTCGGAGAACCCTGCTGACCTTGGAAGCCGTGGTGGAGAGGTGACAAATCATCCCTCTTGGTGCAACGGACCGAAGTAGTTGCAGAACAAAGCATGCTGGCCTCCAGTTATTGCGACCAAGGCATCAGATGAATCAATGGCAGAAGAGAAAGCAATGCGAGATGTCTTTGCTGTGGCGATAGCAACTACAGATGAGCTAGACGCCCTTCTTGGAAAGTCTACCAACTGGAAGACGATGAGAATCTGTGCATGGATAATGCGGTTCATCCACAACATTCGTTCAAGGAAGATAGGAAGACTCAAGGGGCCGCTGACAACTGAAGAAACTGACAAAGTGAGACTCTTTTGGGTGAAAAGAGTCCAGACCAGAGCCGCAGCAGATAAACATTATTAAGATCGGTTGCAGCTGAATCTACAACCAAACCAAGACGGCGTATTGGAATGTCGAGGCAGAATCCAAGGGCATTTTCCGGTGTATTTGCCCGATAGTCAGCAGTTCACAGAGAAGCTTGTGACACAATTTCATCTCGGAACACTCCACGGGGAGTCGTCAGTACCATGGCAAAGGTTTGAGAGCTGTACTGGGTGCCATGGCTGAGAAGAGTACTTTAAAGACCCACAGATAAGCCGCGCCTTTTTTCCAAAAATCGTCGCTCAAAATCGGGGGTGCGGCTTATCTGTGGGAATATTTGGAAAAGGTGCCGTAAATCTCTGAATTGACACTTTATGGATAAGTATGTCAATAAACATTACATAAAACTACAAGGGAGTACTGGTCATTGCTTTTGCAAGTTTGGTGGCTCCTAAAAGAGCTGTTGTTGATGTAAGTGTAAGCTTATTGTAGAGCTTACATTTGTCGCCGCTTATAGCGTTAAACCTTCTTCATTAGGAGATCCTTCAAGCGGTATATGTTTGCTTTTCTCCAACATGAAAACGTCACGCAGCAGGGAATTTCCATTCTCCCGCAAAGCTGTTTGCAGCGTCGACGACGGCCAGTAACTTCAAGATATCAATCCCCCACGAGCGAGAAAATACCACGCTATTCTCGAGTATTCACGTGGTAGATGGCCCACTTTTTCCTCACCGTTTAGCACTTTGATGGCATATTTGTCGAACTGATTATGTAACTCTCTTAGAGCAACAAATTTGTCTCTGACATTTGGCTCCCAAATCTCTTTGTAGATGTGATAGCCACGAACAGCAAATGCAAACTCGAACGACTCCATCTTGTTTTGCTTGAGAATACACAAACAAGGCAAACTTATCGTTCTCACCCAAGTCCCACGCGGCTTGGTATAAACCAATTGTGCCAAAATGCATCTTGTTGCTATGCGATGAAATGCCTTATTTGTGTCAACTACGTATTAACAAATAAAGACACCGTTACACTGGGCAATGTTTCGTGCAGCTTATCTCTCAATTTTGTTTAGCCATTGCGAGACAAGTTACAGAAATGGTGCTTTGTGTAATACCTGCAAAACTCTTAAAAACATCGGGCTGCTTCCAGTGTCCAGTTTTCCACCTTCCAATCCGATCGAATGCCTGGTTACTAAGCTACACACGTTCAACAAACACTCCAGCAAAAAGTCTATGGAAAAACAGTGTTGAATGAAGAATTACCTGTCAACAAATTCCAGAAAAAGATCAAACATATGTCAAAGATGGTGGAAACGATGTTCATTATATTAAAGCGCTAAAATTGTGGGTAAGACTTTGAAGTATTTTTCGTTTCAATGTTAAAAGTGAGTTTACGTTCGATGAACAAGACTCCTAAAGGCTCGACTTTGGATTTCTCTCAAAAAACTTTTTTTCCAAAATTTGAGTTGTTAAACTCAGGGTGTGGCTTATCTACGGGTGTGGCTTATCTGCGGGTGTTTACGGTAACTAAAAAGATTGTGAAGTCTTGCCATGGATATCAGCGGTTCAGGCCACAGGCTTATACCTCTCCTCCACCAGGGAACCTTCCAAGGGATCGCACAGAGGGCCGAACACCCTTCCAAGTCATTGGTGTGGACTTTGTGGGACCATTGACGTACCGAAAGAAACCAAAAACTGAAGGAAAGGCATACATCCTACTGTATGCTTGCAGCCTTACACGTGCCATGTATGTAGACCTTGTGCCAAACCTTGAGACCACTGAGTTCATCAGAAGCTTGAAGTGTTTCATTGCCCGACACAGGAGGCCGCAGGGGATCTACTCTGACAATGGCAAAACATTTGTCAGTGCATCCAAATGGATTCAGCAAGTAATGAAAGATGAGAGGATCTATGGGTTCCTCGCTCCGCAAGGGTTCAAGTGGAAATTCAATCTCAGTCGTGCGCCCTGGTGGGGCTGCCAGTTTGAAAGATTGATCGGGCTGGTTAAAGGATCCCTGTACAAGTCTATAGGAAATGGTCTGCTGTCATGGAAAGAACTCCAAGAAGTGCTGCTAGATGTGGAAGTTGCCCTTAACAACAGGCCACTAGATTATGTGGAGGATGACATCGAGCTGCTTATCCTTTACCCCAAGTTCTCTATTGCACATGCAACCGAACGCACTGCCAGAGTTGGAGCCAAACCACATCCAAGACTATGACTTACAAAAGCGTGCAAAGTACTTGGGCAACTGTAAAGATGCAGTGTGGTCCCATTGGACCAAAGAATACCTGAGGGGGCTCCGGGAGAGACACCGTTTAAAGCACAAGGGTGACAGTACCCATCCAGCGGAAGGAGATATGGTAATTATCAAGTCCGAAGAGAAAAACCGTGCTCAGTGGAAGTTGGGAGTGGTGATTGACTTGATAACTGGCTGAGATGGTGCGGTCTGAGGAGCAAAGCTACGCACTCCCAAGTCAGTCATTGAGTGCCCAGTGCAGCATTTATATCCACTTGAACTTACCTGTGACATGACAGCAGCACCAGCAGCTCTGAACCCTACTGTGCCGGCCTTTAGACCACGAAGAAACGCTCAGTTGCTGCCAGAGCTCATATCCAGGAACTTGCACAAATGGATGATGAAAACTAGAGAGACTGCTTTAATTTTGTTTATTGTGATTTTTCATTTTAGCATTGTTTAGTGATCAGATTAAGATAGCCTCTAAGACATTTGCTCTCTCGAGACAAATGGGGGGGAGAGTGTTAGAAAAGGGACTGCGTGACTGTCACGCGGTGGAAGTGAACTTTGGTCCTCATTGTTTTCGTTGCTTAGTGATAAGCTGTAGTCACGTGATGTAAGTTTAGGATTTCAAAAAGCCGTGTGCGAGTCGTGTGAGATCTAGCGATTGTAATCTTCCTAATTTCCTATGAGTTGGGACACTAAAAACAGTGAAGTGATTCAAGTCTGTTGGTTGTTCAAACGTGAAGATTATCAGGAAAATCTCTTGTGTTAGAAGCAATCGGAAGATTCCTGACAATTATGTCCCAACTTCCCAGCGATGTTCGACTACAAATTTCACGCATGTCCACAAATGAAGTTTGGAAAATTGATGAGCTTCTTGACACCATAAAGTCTGAAATTGATGCCCGGGAAGCAAGCGAAGGAGCGAAATCGAGCGGTGTTGAGAATCGCAAGCCTCCTATTAATCCAAATGCGTTGGTCGCAAAGAGCCCCAAAGAGTTTAAAATTCGTTGCGCTTACTGTGGAAGCCTACACTATTCTGCTTCTTGTGACAAGGTGCTCGATTGTGAAAGCCGAAAGAAGATTCTTGCAAACAGCAACCGATGCTTCAATTGTCTACTAAAGGACCACAACAACACTCAGTGTATGAGCGAGAAGAATTGTAGGCACTGCAAGAAATGCCATCATCAATCCATATGTGATCAAGTTCACACAAAGGTAAACCTATCAATGGCTGATGAATCTGCGAGCAGCGAAACAAGCAGTACGACAACGAGTGCAACGACAACTATGATCAATGCGAACGTACAACAACCAAAAACTGTGCTTTTACAAACAGCACGAGCTGTGGCACTCGATGAAACAGGCAAACTTTCGCCTCCAGTCAGGATTCTGTTTGATAGAGGAAGTCAAAGATCTTATGTCACCGAAAATCTTCGATCGAAGCTAAAATTGAAATCCGTTCAACACAAAAGGCTAAATCTCAACACCTTTGGAGAAGCCCGTTACAAATCTCAGAATTGCGACTTAGTTCACTTATGACTCAAACGACCTGGTTCATCTAATGATGAAGTAATCGATATTTCAGCATTAACCCTTCCCATAATCTGTTCCCCGATGCCATCAAGAGTACAAACTAACTTTGTTCATTTGGAAGGCCTGGAATTAGCTGATCAATTCAACGGATCGCACGATACAATTGATGTTCTAGTGGGCTCTGACTTTTACTGGGACATTGTGATTGGAGATATCGTGTCTAGAGATGGGCCAACAGCACTTAGCAGCAAGTTAGGATGGTTGCTCTCAGGTCCCGTTAAAGGAGCAAAATGTGACAATTACATTGTTTCAAATCTGATTATTTCTGGAGAATTGCCTGTAAGCGAAACAGATGAAGTTACACAAATCATGCAAGGCTTTTGGGAAACCGAAAGCATTGGAATCAAAGACACCCCCAAATGTCAACAAGCGATCAAACTCGAAGACCAATTTTCAGACATTTCATTCAATGGTAACCTTTATGAGGTTGGGCTTCCTTGGAAGGATGACTGTCAGCCATCCTCAGACAATTGGCGAATGTGTGACACACGTCTTAAGTTTCTACACCGCAAGTTAAAAGTGGAGTCTGCCTTATTGAACAAATATCCTAACATCATTACAGAACAAGAAAGAAACGGAATAATCAAAAAGGTCGATAAAGCCCCTAGCAATGACAGCAATAACAAAGGCATCCATTACTCGCCACATCATGCCGTAGTTCAAAAGGATCATGAGAAAACAAAAGTTTGTGTTGTCTATGATGGCTCAGGGAAGACATTGAAGAATGAACTTTCACTCAATGACTCTTTGGAAGTTGGTCCGAACTACATCCCACACATCTTTGACCTATTGACAAAATTCCAAAGTAGCACAATAGGCCTGTCAGCTGACATAGAAAAGGCTTTCCTAAACGTGGGAATCAAAGAACAACATCGAGACATGCTTAGATTTCTGTGGTTCCAAGATCCATTCGCTGATGAATTGAAGATCGTTCCATTCAGATTCAACCGTCTTGTCTTTGGATTACGTCCTTCACCGTCGGGTTTGGGTGCTACAATCAAGCATCATTTACAACTTCTCACACAAGACGAACTGGAAATTGCACAGTTGCTGGAAAATTTGTTCTACGTTGACGACCTAATTACAGGAGCAGACGATGATCAAAGAGCATTTGTCATCTATCAGAAATCAAAGGAAACGATGTCGAAGGGAGGTTTCAATCTGTGAAAGTGGAATTTGAACTTGAGAACATTGTTTCAGAAAATTGGAAGCTCAGAATTGACAAAGAATTACGAGAATACCAAGAGTGTCGACAAAACGCCTGCAGAGATCACTGCTGAAGATGATGAATCCTACGCAAAGTCAAGCACTGGAATCACTGATTGTACAACAAATGATGATCGCATCGTGAAGATTCTTGGAAATGGAACACTTTAACTGACGAGTTTCTCTTTCACTTCGAAGATCTGTACAATTACAGAAATTCACTACCTGTCAACAAGAGATCAGTGCTCAAGATTACTGCAAAGATATTCGACCCTCTAGGAGTTACGAGCCTTTTCGTGATCAGACTGAAGATGTTTTTTCAAGTTCTCTGCACAGAAAAGTTAGAGTGGGACGAACCACTTCAAGGAGAGCTGAACAAAACATGGAATTTTCTACTTGAAGAGTTGAAATCAATGAAAACAATTCAGATACCAAGATGCTATTTTTCCCATGATTCTTTGATAGTTGAAGTACAACTTCATGCGTTTAGTGATGCTTCCGAGAAAGCTTACATAGCTGTACTGTACATGCGAACGACTTACAGCAATGGTTGAGTTCAAACAAGTCTGGTCACAAGCAAGACAAGAGTAGCACCAATCAAGAAACAGACGATTCCTCGCCTGGAACTACTTGGAGCGACAATTTTGGCACAACTTGGGTCCGCAGTCACTAACTCGCTTACAAAGAAAATTGACTAAGTGGTTTATTGGGTAGATTCAAGAACCATACTTTGCTGGATTAGAAACGAGAAGCCGTGGAAACAGTACGTCCGAAACAGAGTAGACGAGATTCGACAACTGACAAGTAAACGAGATTGGCAACATTGTCCTGGAAACGTAAATCCCGCTGATTTACCTTCACGCGGTATGACCGGAAACGAGATGGTGGAAAGTTCCATGTGGTGGAATGGACCACCTTTCCTTTGTACTTCAGAAGATTGGCCACAAGATCAACCTACCATTGAAGCAAATGAAACCGCACTTGCAGAACTCATCAAGAATCCACCTGAAGAGACACACACGTTAACATCTTCTGAATACACAGCCGAAATCAATCTACTGAACATTATCAACTGTGATCGTTTCAGTAACCTGAACAGCATGTTACGCGTGACTGCCTACATGTTAAGATTTGTCAACAAGATTAAGAGACGTCTGCTGAGGCATGTAGAAGATAACGAAGAAAACGATGAACTGAAAGCAAGTACTTTAGAACAAGCCGAATCCCTTTGGATACGTACAGTACAAGCAAAAGCCTTTTCCAGTGAGATCAGCAATGTACAGAAAGGACTTGAAGTGAAACCCCACCGAGTTGATCAATTTGCCTGGTACTTTGATGAAAACCACGTAATGAGGTGTCGTGGAATAATTAACAACTCTAGCCTGCAACCTGAAAGTAAACATCCAATTTTATTACCTTCAAATCATCCCTTTGTTGAGTTGCTGATCCGTCAAAACCATGAGAAGGTTAAACACAGTGCTGTCAATAACACACTCACCACTATCCGAAAAGGATTTTTGATACTCAGAGGGAGACAAGCTGTTAAGTGTGTACTAAGGCGTTGTGTGATCTGCAAGAAACTTGAAGGACTGTCATATCCAACAAGCTATTCTCCAGATTTACCAAGCATCCAAGTCTCAGATGGCCTGCCGTTTACCCATGTAGGAGTGGATTTTGCAGGCCCTGTTAACATTCGAGAGAATTCAGCCTCCGGAAGCGACAGCGAAAAATGCTATATCTGTTTGTTTACCTGTGTGACAACACGTGCGGTACATTTGGAATTAACAAGGAATCTAACTGTAGAATGTTTTCTACTAGCCTTTCGAAGATTCACTAGCCGCAGAGGTCTAGCAGCAACCCTAATCTCAGATAATGCGAAAACCTTTAGAGGAGCATCAAGAGAAATCAAGAAGATAGTGCGATCGAAAGAAGTCCTCCGATATTTAGCAAACAACAGCATGGTGGGGTGGTTTTTAGGAACGGTTGATCCAAAGTGTCAAGCGGTGTATCAGAAAAACCATCGGGAGGACGATGCTGAACTATGATGAACTGGCCACCTCACTGACCGAAGTAGAGTCTGTCATCAACTCAAGACCTTTGACGCACGAAGAGGATGACCAAGATGGAGTGAGCTACACACTTTCTCCTTCCCACCTGATCAATGGCCAAAGAATCATCGATTCACCAAATGGTGGCCACTTTGAAGTAATCAGCACCAATTCATCTTTGACTAAACGAGCCAAACATCATCGACACCTTCAACAGTTTACTAATCGACGGAAGAAGACCTACCTGCTGAGCCTACAAGAAAGGCACACCCAAATTACCAGAAATCACAAGGGAGCAGAAATTGCAGTGGGTGATGTTGTCATCCTTAGGAACGATTCCACTCCAAGAATGTTTTGGAAACTAGTGTTAGACGAAGAACTATTGCCAGGCAGAGATGGAATTGTAAGAGCCGCTTGAGTGAAAGTAGCGAATGCAGAACGAAATCCCAGGATTTTCACAAGAAGTGTTAAACACTTAGTTCCACTAGAATTAAATGCAAATAGTCAAACCAAGGTACCAGTAGAGAGTGAACAGGAAGTGTGCATTCCCTCAGCAGTAAATGACAATGAATCTCATTTAAGACCACGACGAATCACAGCCATCAGGAGAACTGCACCGGAAACTGAACTCATAGATTTTGTAGAACGTTGTTAAGAAGTTTGCTCACAGAAGTGACCAAACCGGGGGAGTGTGTCGTGAAAATTTTCTGTTTTGTTTTTAATTTGTTTCTGTTGGATCGCACATCTGGGACAGTGTACATTTCACCATTTGATTGACATTTATCTCATGATTTTGTGTATATGATTCATTTTTTTCGATAGACATTTCAGAGTAAGAATAAATTCAAAACGAAATTTGCGATGTTTTATTCACGATAGTGGTGTCAGTCGTTGTGGCTCATGTATGCTCTTGATAAATAAATACAAACATAAAGAGAACCAGGGTCTCAGTGACCACCAACCAGTAGTTGTTTTAGTTTGAAACGGACATTATGTTTACATTTCATAATGCAGAAATTATGCCCATATTTGACAAACTTTTGCTTGTATGCAAATCCGGCAAATGTAATGTTTGTCTAGAGATACACGCAAAGATGCTACGAATAAAATAGTCGGGTACATGTCCATGAAATCAAATGGTCAACAAAATACCTTTCATCACAAAGGTCAATCAATCATTTTTTTATACTTTGTAGTCCTCTTTTGTCATAGTCTAAGCTGCAGCCACTGCAATAAATATGTCAGTTAGAAATGCATAAAAACGTAGTGATAAGTTATAAGCCAAAGTGAAAGGAGACTATTAACAGAACTAAAAGATCGTGATGTATTATGTTTAGGGTTTGTCCTACATTGTTTTGGAATTGAATACTGTATAACATCTGTTTACATTTGTATTAAACTGCCATGGCAAGCTGTGTCTGGCTAGAGGATCGTTACTCATAAATCAAATGTTAAAAAACCAATGATAATTCATGGCCAACACCAGCTACTGAATAGTGCTTGCTATGCTTCTGCTGTTCAAAAAATAACTTGCTCAATTCATGAAAACACTGGTCATCAATAGCTGGACGTAAATGCACAGTAGACATCATGCACATTCAAGTGAAACATTCTGTAAAAAAATACTCTAAAACTTTAACTTCTTCCAGGCTTCTTAGGCCCCACAATTCTACTAAACATCACATAATCACCTGCAACACTACAGAAAAGAAAAATGTAATAATTATTTTCAAAGTAAAAATCGTGTAGATGGCCATGCATAATGTTACATTATTTTGTACATGCCACAACAAAGTAAACACAACAGTTGATCAATGATTTGTAATCCAAATTACGCATCATTGTGTTGAGCTAATAATTATAAAAGCATTTTTCATTACCGTTCTGCCAAGTGTTGTGAAAAGTTGCCAAAGCATTGAAAACATTATTAAAGCATTCTGGGACATTATCGAATGTTGCTTGCGTTTAGAGAATTTGTCAAGAAACATTGAAAATGCATTGAGGATCATTCGCCAAGCATTAAAATGCATTGACAGTGTATTCAAAATTCATTCAAATGCAATTCCAGGTAATTTTCTTTAAGCCTGGTTTTCCCAAATAGGGTCACATATTTCAAACTATTTTCCAGTCAACTTGAAGATAGGTCTGTTCATTATCACCATTGAAGTTGAAATCCAAAGAATAAGAGCTTTTACAATTTCTGTTTCTCCTCCTTGTTCATTCAAGTTTTAAATTTAATAGAAAAGCAGAAATGAAGAAATAAGGCTGATCCACCATTATTTCACCACCAAAGTGACCCATACCTTTACAAAACAGGTATTCTGAACTAACTCTTGAAGAGGAACAGCCCAAAATCAGTAGTGAATGCAATCAAGGGTCATCTTATGAACCGCAGTTGTACTGTCACCGTTGCATCCCAAAACAAGCCACAGTTGATAACCCAACAATTTTTAAGGCCAAAAAATTCTCAAATGTCAAAAACAAAAAGGAAAGAATCAATCTTTAGTCAAATGGCTCAGTTACCTGAGAGGCTAGCCCACATGGGAACCAGAAGAAAACAATTTGGACAAGTATTTGAATAAAAACTTTGTAAAATCTCTGCTGATATTAGGTATAATTTATCTGAAAACTGTTTTATTGGTCCTGCACACCAGGAAAAAACTTTGCCCTAATCCCATCTTCCAAACAGAATATCTCACTTGAAGTATTAGATAAACGTTTTAGTAATTAAGTAGGTTTCTTTTGCCCTAAAAGTGGATTAAATACTGTGACGAACTTGCAATGGTTGGGTTTTGCCTGGAATCCCGAATTGAGATCATACCCAGTCCTTTGTTCACCTTGGTGGAAGATATTTCCTTTTCACAACATTTGGCACGGTTGTCACCAGTTATCTGGAAGATATTTCCTTTCCACAACATTTGACATGGTTGTCACAAACACCAGTTATCTGGACATCACACCACTTGCAACCTACAATTTCCTGTGCAATGTCAGTTTTAGTGGAATGAAGACAAGTTTGGCCATGTGTCTGAAGAACCTTCATTTCTTGTTACCACTATTTCTACTGAATCAATCATATATGTTTATGGGGTCCAAACCCAAGTGACAAGTCAGCACACTATTACATCAAGAGCATGATGATGCATATATGATAAGGACAAAAAATATGCAAGTTAGCCTCCAGGAATACCTTGAGTATTTTTGTACGTTTAATTAGGTGAACTTTACTTAAATTTTCTTTTAAATATCTTGACCGGTCAGAGACGAGACATGACCGAGCTAAAATTACTTTGGCCAGTCAACATGACCGGCCACAGTCCGAAAATTATTTTGAGCCCTGAGAAGGTACTGTAGAAACCATTGTAACAGATTACAGTGGCTATGTTGGTTTCTCAGCCCTTAATTTTGTCCTTTGTTGTATTGCCTCCCAAGTGTGTTCATAAAATCTTTCAACCCCATTTAAAATATGTACATCACCAGAAAATACCACTACAGACTGTTGCTACTACACAACATCCAAACAAAATTTGCAAGTGTTGAGCGATTAAAATCAGTGAAGCCATGCAGCAAAGGTTTTCTACAGTAATAATTGAGCCTACAGTTTTAAAATTTCTTCAGATAAATGGCATGTTAACTACTTTTACATTATGTGGTGATTTGCCCCATCAAACAATGCCCATATTTCTATTGACAGGGACGTTTCATGACACAGTCATTTTATGTATAGATATAATTGAATTTGATGTTCATGTTTCTTTTGTTACTGATAATGTTGAGGTAGTTATGTTGAGGTTAGTTTGTTGAGGTAGTTATTTAGTGACTAGTTGTAATCAAAGATTATGAGTGTGTTTGACGCAGTCACTTTAATATATACCTTAAATAAATGATTTCACTAGCTGACTTTCAACCTCTGTCTATTGCTAAAATCAATGTTTTTCATCTACAACCGAGGTTTTACAGAGATATCAGTGTCAAAGTCCATGCCAGTTTAAAGTGGTGCTATGACAAAAATTGCATTTGTCCTATCCAAGCCATTTTAAAACATAAACAAGTAGTCTGTATGAGAAGAAAAATGTTGTTTGTGATTTTCAAATATCTCTTTTCGTTCTAGAAATATTCAAGTTGTTACAATATGCAAATTGGCCAAGTGATGACTTCATACACTGTCGGGGAAAATAAGTTAGTTATCTATTAATAATAAGTTGAATATTAAATGTACAAGGAATTAGTCAAATGATTACGTTATAGTGTGCAACATTTCACAGTAAATTGAACTCAGTCCGCAGTTTATCAGCTGATGTACTTTGCACGCGTTAATTGAACCAAATAGGGAAGATCACGTGAACTTCATAAATTGTAACTTTACTCTAGGTAGATAGATCTATTTACATACTTGATTTAATATTTATTGGATTGAGTGTATGACATCATCGGTCATCTCATTTGCATATTTTACACACATTTCAGACTTGAACATCTCTGGAACTAACGCAGATATTTGCAAACCGTAAACAGCATTTTCAATCTTTCATAGACTTCTTTGTGATACAGCTAAAAGCTCAAGGGGTAAAAATTTGATCATTGTACCTCTTTATTAACCCTTTCATGTGCAAGCGCATATATACGCGCGCTTCCAAAAGTGGACAATATTTGGACACAATATTTGGTTGAACATGATGTATCAAGTACCAGACCTCTCTCAAAAGTAAACTCACATGTCTTTTGATGTTTTCGGCCATCTTGGTGAGTTTTAGAGCAAATTTTGTGGTGTTTTCACGAGTTTCTTCACACGTGTGTTACATGAGAAAATACTGGGGCTTTAAAAATGGTAGCACGACAATATACGGTCGAGGAAGTCGCTGAAATCGTTATCAATTTACCTTTTGATGGTGATGAAAGTGAGCTCAGTGACTTCGCAGGTTCGGAAGGGGACGAAGGTGATGGTACATAACAACAACAACAAAAACCTTTATTAAACAATCAGGATGAAATGGATGAATTCTCCGATGAGAGAGGAGGAAGCCAACAATGTCACGGAAGACAACCCATCAGTTAGACATGGAAATGGTTTTTGGGGTCGAAGAGATGAGGAAACTGTTCGTGAGTAGCCTGAATTTACTGGCTGCCATGGACCAACACAGCTCCTTGGTATTGATGCTGAACCCGTGGACTTCTTTGATCTTCTCTTCCCAGAGGAACTCTGGTCTTTGATCGCCCAGGAAACAAACAAATATTGATTTCACCAAGGAGTTTCACAGTGGGATAATGACACAAACATTGAGGAAATTCGAGCATTTGTTGGCCTCTTGTTTGGTATGGGACTCCACAAAGTGCCAGAAATGAAACATTTTTTCTGTGCTGATTGGGTTTTTGGTGTTCCAGCCTTTGCTCAAGTATTTACTTCAAAAAGATGGCATC